CACGAGGGGGTGAGGGGGTGAGGGGGTGAGGGGGTGAGGGGCTGTCTGGCGCCTGCCACGCAGTCACAAGATCAATCACATACTTACCGATCTCCTCGTCCTGCTCGGTGATTCGCCGCCGCATCCCCTCCCTCGTCTCCGGCATGCCCTCCTGCTGCTGCCTCTCCTCCCGCTCCTCGCTCCGCACGCTGCCTGTACTCCCGCGCCTCCTGGAGATGGCCGCACGCAGCGACGCGTTCTCCTCCTCCAGCTCTGCCAGCTTCCGCCGCGACGCGCGCGCATCCTCGCCGCGATGCTGCTCCGTCTCCATGGCAACGCATCTCTCCTGCATCTCGACGCACATGTTCTCCATCTCTCGCAGCTTGTCCTTGATTCCAAGATTCAAGGTCACAATGTATAATATGCAATAACGCAAAAGAATATATTCAACATTTATATGATAAAATGTATAATCACTATGTACATAAAGTTACAACATTTCAGACACTCGATAGCACGTCATAACTACTAATAATTTTCTCCCAACGCCACCGCCCTCCCCCACTGCTCCTCTCCCGCCCTCCCCCACTGCTCCTCTCCCGCCCTCCCCCACTGCTCCTCTCCCGCCCTCCCCCACTGCTCCTCTCCCGCCCTCCCCCACTGCTCCTCTCCTGCCCTCTCCGCTGCTGCTCTATCCCGCATCTCCCATCCACCTCTTCATCCGCTGCCCACCTCCGCACCGGCTCCTCTCCCACCCCACTCACCCACCACTCCCTCTGCCGCACAAAAAACAAGCCCATCGTGACATCGCTACCTTTAGCTCGATGTTTTCCAGCGCCTGATCGTCGGTGTGTATCACGGGCACCTTGCGGCCGGCGGCTATCCGCAGCCGTAGATTGTCGTCGCCTAGCCGATCGCTTGTTGCCTCCAGGTCAGCTAGCTTCTGTCGCAGGATGCCGACCTCGCTCTCCATTAGCGACGCCTGCTTACGAGCGTCTAGCTGAACGTCGCTGTCCAGCGACTTACTGCGAGCGAACATCTTAGGTCCCTGTGGGAGGAGAAAGGAAGGAGAGCATAAGTCAGGGTGGGAGGTGTAGCATAGGCAGAGAGGCAGGGGAAGGTAAGAAAGGAAGGAGAGCGTAAGTGAGAGTGGGAGGTGTAGCGTAGGCAGAGAGGCAGGGGAAGGTAAGTGAGGAACTGGAAGGAGAGCGTAAGTGAGAGTGGGAGGTGTAGCGTAGGCAGAGAGGCAGGAGAAGATAAGTGAGGTTAGGAAGGTAAGTCAGGGTGAGAGGTGGGAAGATAAATGAGATAGAGAGTTAAGCATATAGGTAAGCGAGGGTGTGTAGTGTAGTGGAGGTAGAGAGGTAAAGCTAGGTAAAAGAAGGTAAACATCATAGCTCTCTGCATATAAATTTTATATACGATTAATATCTTAGTACATTAATATTTAAGATTTTAAGATAATATCTTAAGATTAATTAATTAATTATTAATTAAGATTATTTAAGAATTTTTAAGATTAAGATAAGATAATATTATAAGGTAAGATAATTATAAGATAAGATAAGATAAGGTAAGGTAATTATAAGATAAGATAATATTAAGATTATTTAAGAATAATTAAGATTAATTAAGAATATTTAAGATTAATATCACAG